AGTACCAACTGAAATAGGAATAAAAGAAAAAAAAAACAGTTTGAACAAAGAAAACATAAAATAAAATCATCTATCAAACAAAACCTAAGTTAATCAAAATAATTTACATATAAAATACTATAGTCAGCAAATTATTGAATTTTCAAATTAAAAGAGCACCTTGGAAAGAAATAAAAAAAAAAAAAAAAAACGAGGAAGGACAAATTATTAAATGTTCATACAACAGCAATATGGAACATGTCCCGTAACAATTAAATTAGAGATACTACCATTTTCAAATTGAATATTGAAAACCTTGGCTGTAAGCAATTTCAATATCTTCTTTTTTAGTAATCACAGTAAGAATTATGCCTGTTAGTACTGGAGTGGAGATTGTATTATCTTGCAATTTATACAGAATAAAATATAATAAAATCAATAGAACGCAACGGTGATGAGAGAAACATTCTTTTTGAAATAGATTAGGATAATATGAATTCACATGCGAGCAATCCTTCCACAGAGAAAATTAAAAACCAAATGCATCCATACCGTGGTGAATTATTATAGATCGGAACGTCCAAAAACTATTTTAATTAGTATAGTTTACATTAAAGTTTGAACTTAAATATTTACCTTTATGCAGAGTTTCTGTAACTTGTAATGTAAAAAATTTCAATGACTTAGCATATAAAGCCTGTTTGGCAATAACAAATAACAATCAAAATTTTTGGGACAGGAATGCGTGGCTTAAAAATAGCAAATGGCCTATGGTTTTAGAAATGCAATGACACCAGAGAAAAGTGAAGACTTGATAAGTTGCATAACAGAACCCAAAAAAAAAAAAAAACCATCATATTTTATCAATCTTATCAATCATAAAATTTCAAGAATACCAATCATATTTTACTTTAAATAAATACCTATTTTATTACTACTAAGTTTTAATACAATAGACAATAGCCAGAAAAAGAACCACCAAAATCAAACATCATCATTGAAATGAACAAGACTTATAATTTACCTATGAGCATCCGATGGAGTAGTTCGGAACCATGAAGAAGAGAAAGACAACGAGCCATATTGTGAAGATGCAGCAGCCAATCGAAGTCGATGGTGGACCTGCAAAGAATCAAGCTGTTCGTTTAATTAAAAGGGTACGTAAAATGAATTGGGTTTGCTGTTATTACCGCTATGGAAAGAAAGAACTGGATACCTTGAGAGAAGAGGAGAACTGCACTATAATAGCATTGGTAAAGCTGAGGTGAACAAGGAGCATCTCTGTTTCTGGGCTGTCTTTTTTTTGTTTTCTTGGGTTTCCTTGGGAGGAGGATTCCAGGATTTTTCAAGTTTTGATCGTCCAATTATCTAGTGTGATTTGTCAGGAGTCCAATGCCTACGTTATTCGCTAGAAAAATTCTCCCCCCGCTTGGGACAGTTTAGACTAGACACCATCAACAAAGTTCTTGTATATATATATATATATATATTTTCCCTTTCTTTCTGTAAAGGTTCCATATATAGAAGAAATTAAAAGAAAAAAAAAAGGAAAGAAAAATATCATATTGTTTGGCTTTTATCTGTCCTTTTTCTTACAATTCTAGTGGCATCATGCAAAACTTTATCATCCATTTCGCCATTGAACAGCCTCTTGCTGGCAAAAGTTGGAAGAATCAACTCTTTCTTATTCACAAATATCCTCATTTGTTATTTCAATTCTTCATTTTCATTTTTTAAGTAAGATAGCATTGGGCTGAATTAGTAATAATCATAGCATCGGGGTGATATTATGTGGATTCCATGGATCAAGCATCATTTCTTATTCAAAAATGGGTTTTATTTTTTCTTGCCAGAATTTGTTGATAAATTCAGATGATCAACTGTGATTAAACCAGATTTAGTTGACCTAAAAGTTTATTCTTAATAACAAGTTTATTTCTTGTCATAATGATTTCCAAAACCCCCACAGAAACAATTATTAAAATAAAGTCAGGAACAATTATAACACCGATCTGATAGCAGCAATCATAATAGAAACAATTCGAAGCAGTAAATACTAAATCAGAACTGGCGGACATACATAGGAAAACAAAAAGGAGTTATTACAAAATAGCACAAGAACTCGAAGGTTGAGGATTTTCGGCAGAAGAGTTGACCCCAGGCCAGTCACGGCATTGGCAGCGTTGGGCTTCAGCCACACGCTTATAGACAGACGGAACATGTCTTCCGCAGCCTCCCCATGTTGTTTTCCCGCATGTTGAGCACTTCACTTCGTAACACATCTTGCTTTGTTCCTCCTCTGTGTTCTTTCCTCTACTGGCTTAATTGTTTCTAACCTAATTCTTTTCCCTTGTTGCCCTGTTTTAAAAGGAATTGAATCGAATAAAAGCCACCGACCTTTTTTTTTTTCTTGTTATACTAGTATCCGTCTCATCATATCGAAAACCAGGGCTACATTGAGATTATCGTTTCGTTTCAGTGTGCGGTCGTATATGGGCTGAGGACCCGAGAGACGCCTAAACCTAGCCTATTAACAATAAGACTTGGACTTGGTTCTTTGTTTCACTTGGATCGAATGCGCTTAGTTTTCAGGCCTTCAGTTTTTGATTTAAGGTGAAACTCAATGAACAAGATGATCTTTAGTCTTAGTCCCTTGGGCTGGCCTTTTACAACACATATGAATTGAATACCTATATTTTGAGGGGAAGAAAAGAAAGCTCGTCATTTTGAGCCTTTGAGAGCACCGACTGATGGGCCGGACGCCATGCCATTGAACTTCAATTTTAGAGTAGCCATAGCCCATAGGTACAAAGCTTGTCGGTGTCGACCGTCGACTGTCGACATCCTAATGTGCGAGTGCGAGAGAGCTTGGAGATTCAGACAACCCATTTGGAGAAGAACGTTATTTCTCTAATATATTGCGACCACCATCCAATAATTTTACTTACTTGAATCCAGTTGCCTGACTTGCTTGCATTATTTTACAGTTTCTTTGGACTTAGATAAAAATAAAAAAAAACCTTTACGAGTTTTCACCTGTAATTATTATATTTATAATTAATTAATTATAATTTATAATTATACGAGATTTATTAAAATTTTATATAAAATTTATATTTAAAAAATAATAGATCTCGATATAATTTTTTATTATAATTAAATATTATAAAATTATAATAAAAATAATTATAAATAAAATACTTTGGCAAATTTGAGTTTGGATCTTCCTCTTAAGATTGTTCATAATTCAAATATAGATCCAACAAGTACCTAAAAGATAAAGTTCTCATTTTCTTTTGTTATAAAAGTCACCGGAAACAATAAAAATGGAGAGATTGATCAAGTGGGATCCTCCGGACTCTTGGATTTTGAAAGCTAACTTCATGAGAAAGAGACATTTGAAGCGCATGGCAAGCATGATATGGTTGTAATTGAAAGTCAAGTTCCAGAAAAATAGCAAGGGAAAATAGAAAAGATCCAGGACAAGCCAAGTGTGATAGGCCGACAATTGCCTTAGGAAAGTCGGTGCCTTGATCATGCTCTCGTCAAATGGAAGTCCATAAGGATTATACTTGTGTTGCACTGACTATATAGCTAGGCTTCTTTTCTCCCATTACCAACTTGATCCATAGGTACCTTTCATCAAACTCTTACAAATATTACACAAAGGATTAGTCCAATTGACAAAAAGAGGAACCCATTGATAAAGAGCAGAATTCATATTTTCTTATCAACCTTGGTTTGATATTTGTAGAAAGAATTTCGAAAATAAAATCTTAAATGCATCGTATTAATATAAATGAATAATTTTATTTGAAGAAATAATTAAATTAGGATGAAACATAAAAAATACTCCTTTAATATTAAAAAAATCGCTCTTACAAATAGCATGTTACTCATAAAACAAAAATGTCCTTTCTTACAAATCTTGTTTAATTACTCTTAACACCAAAAACTCAATAAACATTCAATATATAAACTCTTCAATTATATTAAGTTTCTTTGTAATGGTGTTGATAATATTATCATGTCACTACTTATTGGTAGGCAAGATGATTAATTCAAATAATAAATTAATACCTCTAGAATTTCAATAATTAGTATAATCTTAATTTTGTGGTTCGTGAATACTTTGTATTGCGTTTAATAGAGATATTAAATTTTAATAGAGAAAGTTTGTGATATTCCAATCACATCTAAAGATGTTTTAAGAATTCATTATAATATATAAATTGAGACTTAAATTTATATTTTTGAAATGAGTTTTATAATGAGATATTTAAGTTAAAGCACGTAATACTTCATAAATTGAGTATAAATTTCTATAAAACTTACAAAACTTAGTGCCTAACTTTTTTTAGTACCGAATCACTTGGTGAAAAATATTCAAGAGCAAGTGGCATTAGAATTTAATGTAATATATTCTCCAATAACCTGACATCTTTTATCTTTCCAAATCACTCTTTATTTCATATATTCATTTTGTATTTTAAAAAGCTTATTAAAAAGAAAATTTTATATGATTAGTTACATCTCAACTCTAAAAGAATATAATAATATTATTTGTGAATGTCGATTAATTTTTATCACTATAATATAATTTTATCTTTTAAGTTCGAGAATATATATACATATATATATTTAAAAATTACTTGAATTCGCTTGAGATTCAACATCAACTTTCAATGGCAAGTTTGTGCTAAGGAATTGAATTCAGGTAACATCAATCTTTAAAGTTTATAACATCAAATCTTAAATATATGACCCATCCATACCAAAAGTACAATGATTTGATATAGAGAGGCCCTAAGATTACCATTGACATCCTTCTATATGGTGCACATCTCTTTCATTCTCTTCCTTCAAATATTGTGTGAAAGTGGTAAGTCATGTCCTCTATTCCCTATAAATAATTTTCTCAGTGCAATTAATAACGGTGCAGAATATTTTTTCCCCCATCATTTTGATTATTGAAAATTATTTAAATATGTACAGGATAAATGAAAAAAAACACCGGTAGTCATACAATCTATCAATAGAATATTGACTTCTTAATAATTGATCATGTTTAATTACAGACAACCTCAATTATTAAAAAAAACCCCCCAAAAAATTACATTTGAAAACATGGATGGTTCACAACACTAGGCGGGAAAACAGTGGAATTGTTGGAGAAACATGGTTATCAGTAATCCATTTTTCCTGTATTGATCTTATCTAACGGGTACAACCCACAATATACCAGCGATAGTCACTATTCATTTCTCCCTTTGGCAAAGCTTTGTTTGAGTTTGACCACCTTACAATAATCATAAACTTCTCTATTGGTTTTGTAGGTAGGTTCAATTTCATTTTTCTTATAATCCCAAGTTGCCTGCTTATGTCCTCTGGTAGGAATCAAGTTAAGTTGATGTCCTGCAAGAATATTTGGAAGTAGGGCAAGTTTACAAGAGTCTATATCTTTTTAGAGGAGTAAAGAATGTAACAGTGGGGAACATTTGGGTGGTCTGCAACTAGGTATACATATAAAAACACACAGCTGATAATGGTTCTCAATTTAATTCTATTATGAAACGTTGTCTTCTCTGATTTACCTCACTAAGATCAACATCATTGCCTGTAATTGACAATAACAGTTTAGCTATCAGACCCCTCCCTTTAATTAATCACCGCCTTTAGTGCAAACATTGAAAAGAAAGTGATTCATGGACAGAATTTATTCACTGTTCATATAGTATAATACTATAAATTATATAGATGATATTGTAAGCGTTCAAGAGCTTAATCGATCTGGACAGTCCACCCTTTTTTATCCTCAATGCGACCAGTTTGCAGTCCCACAAGTGTTGAGTACAGTTCTTGGCAGACCAAGCTACCCTCTGATTTGAATTCAATTCTGCAAATATGCGTAAATTTCATGGGTTAATGTAGGGTCAACTAGACATTAACAGTGATTTTCAGTTTTCTTTAGGGTAATAAGCTTCCTCTCCATCCTTTTTTAACGGCAAAATTTGTTCGATTCTATCAGTTGTTACCTTCTGTTCTGATGTGTAATGCTACCGACTGGAGCAACTCCAACAGCTGTTCCCGTGCAAAAAACTTCATCAGCATCAACCAAGTCATCGACAGAAATTACCCGTTCCTCAACCTAATAGTACATTAGTCTTGTATTAAAAATCCCTCTGTGTCTTATTGCAACATTTGAACATTGGAGATTAGAAATAACAGAGATTCACCTGGTAACCATGATCCCTAGCTATCTCAAGGATACTTTTTCGAGTTACCCCTTCTAGAACTGTTCCATTTATAGCAGGAGTTGAAATAAGATTTCCCTGTAAAAGGTTCAAAAAAGTGATTTTTGAAGAGGGCCAAGCCCATGAATTGGGATGTTATGATGGAATTTCGTATACCAGTTGACAATACCTTCACAACGAAAACATTACAAGATGAGACCTCCTCCAGATATTTCCTATTCATGGCATCAAGGTACAGGACATCAGAAAATCCTCTGTTTTTGGCTCTGACTATTGCCTTCAGAACCTGTTAACAAAGGCCTAAATGCTTAATAAATTTACAATAGTATATAGCAGCCGTCATTTCATAGAACTCAAATTAATGAGAAAATAAGCTCTACAAATAAAACATTCAATATTGGCATTGAAATGTTACTCACTGGAGCGTAGTTTGTGATTGTCTTCACGCCTCCTGCTCCTCCAGGAGAAGCCCGAACAAATTCCTCATCAATAAACAAGTTCAAAGGTGCAGTACCATCCTGAATCCAGGATGATCAGAATATATGTAAGCCGTTTACGGGAAACCAAAGTTCGAAACAAAAATCATAGAATCGTAAAAGAAGTCCACCTTGAAATAGTTGCAAACAGGGGAAGCATAAATAAGAAATGTATACTCCGGGGCTGGTGCCAAACCTAATATAGGACCAGTTCCCAAAAGCAGAGGCCTAACATACAATGACCCTTTTCCCGGTGGAGGAATCTGCAAGTAATCATGGAATCAAGTTTTAAGAAGAAATTGAAGGCTAACTTTTCAGGAGACTAGAAAGATAGAAGCACAGTTTTGTCAATTACGGAATTACCCAACGTTTATTAGCGAGTACAGTTTCCTTCACTGCATCAACAAATTGTTCAATGGAAGGAGATGGCATGCACATTCTTTCAGCCCCATGCCTCATCCGAGCTGCATTTTGCTCTGGACGGAATAGAAGAATGCGCCCATCTTCTGTCCTGTTAGCTTTCGTGCCTTCCAGTATGCCCTGGATAGAGATTTTAGCTGAATTAGATTAATTCTAAAACTAATAAGGGGGCAAAAGTTGGTCAAGGGCTTTGTGACCTTTTTTGATCCTCTTCATCTGGACTCGTAGTCAAAGTTTAGATTAGGGTTTGTCTTGCTGTGTGTTAAATATAACAAAGGTCCAAAAAGAAAAAATTAGTGCGTGTTTAACGAAATCTTTAACTCATAATTGCTTGAAAAAGTCAACTGCACCACTAGTCTCCAACTCAACAACAGTCAAAAAATATTTCACATGTTTCTTCATTTTGATTGTCTGACTCCACGTTTTTTACTTGCTAATAAAGTTGGGAAATGTGAATCCGATTTCATAATCTCTTCCTTTAAACAAAAAGGAATTAGTAATCGTTTCACTGGGCATCATTAATTCTTTTTTAGGTGAAAAAGGAAAACGGAGGTACAGCTTGCCTGTCCGTAATTCAAGACTCCTGCGGAAGGACTTAATTCAATATTGCCATAGCGACTGAGCCGTCCTTCTCTAAAATTTTCGGCCTTAGAACATCTCATAACGTACATGTAATCAACTGGCCTAAAACCAAATCCAAGTTTATCCCAATCCACGTCAACGTACTCCTCGTCACTGAAGCCAACACTTCCACTATAATAAAAAAAGCATAGGAAAATTAAAATAAAATATTCACCCTGTTCAACATTAGTTTAATCACCTTATTCTTGAATAATTGGATTGAATAAATTTTCACTCAAAAAACCTAGTACTAATATATTAATCACTTTCGAAAAAGACAACAAGACGTAGATTCCTCTTCTTCTTTTCTTTTTATTATGTAAATAAAACTATTATTGTCGAAAACTTGACGTCGTGATCTTAACAACACCAATCTTCAGCCCATCACTTTCACATGGCGAGCCCCATTGAATTCCAGCAAAGGATGAGAAACTAATAATAAAACTTGTCAGGCTTAGCAACCGTGTTTTAGCACAATTTTATAGAAGTGGCAGATCCTGTGTTTCATGTAATTACCTATAAGCAGATGGTTGAGTCGCTACTCCCAGAGAAGAAGCAGCCTGAGACGTGTTACCAAGATAATCTGCAAGCTGCAGACATGTATAAAAAACATATTAGTTGTACTTTCTCAGCCGAACATCCTCGAATTTTTTATTTACCTCAGTTATGTCTTGGAGATGTTACATGTCAGGAAGACATATTCTAACATTATCTGTACCAATAATGAGTGAGACCAAGTGGCTTTAAGAAATAAAACTTTTAGGTATACTTCATTGTCTTTAAAGATATACATGAAATTGAAAAGGGGCTACTTTACCTTTGATGGAAAAGAAGCAGCCCGTAAGGATTGAACCAGATTGCGTATGCAAGAGCTCCTTTGAACCATGGTTTCTTTTGCTTCTACAATTGTCTTTCAACAAAGAACAAAGAAAACCCAATTGAGATCTTTAAGAAAAAATTCAGAGTAGAACAGCTTGACAGATAAAAATTTGAAAGAGATTGCTCAGGAATGAAAAGAAATAAGCTGGAAACTGAGAAAGGAAAAATAATTGTAGAATCGTTAAAGTAAGCCGAGAGAGACGTTTTTGGACGAGAAATGGTACAAGAAAAGAAAAGAAAGCACCAAATATAAATAGAGTTAGCTCAACACGGAATTATCCACCTTATTCTCTATTATTGATCACAATAGGTCAGGTGAAGGTCGGTTTTTGTACATATCGATTTTGACTATTAAAATACTTTTTTTATACTCAATTGTACTCACATATGTATAAAATTATATCGATTTCAACTTAAAATTTATTTAATAATTAATTTAAAATAATAATTATAAAATATTTTTTAATATAAAATATTTTTAATTATACATAAATATAATTTTTATTAAATTAATATCTTAAATTAAAATATTAAATAATAATTTTATTAATACAATACATGTGTATATATATATATATATATAAAAGTAAACAAATAATAAAATATATTTTTTATACATATTAAGTCGGATCAAGACAAGATAAGTTCATCTAAAATCTGATTTTGGCTCAATCATTATTTTTTAAATAAAATTAAATCAATCTTATTTGAAACTCAATTTTTTTAAAAAAAAATTAACCTTATAAAATTACATTCAATTAAAAGCTAGCGAATTTGAGTATATTTTAGCTATGGACGAAACCATGAATATCCCACTGACACATATTATAGCATTAAAATATATGCTCTTTCTATAAAAAAATTGAAATTATTACATTAAAATATTAAATAATGATTTTATTTATATAATTCATATATAAATATAAATATAAAATGAAATAAAATAATAAAAATAAAGTTATAGGAAGGATTTTTAAAAACTAAAAAAAAATAAAAATCAAATCCCGATGTGATAATAAGTTTCTGTAATATCATTTTTACAAATTATCAAATAAATATATAATGTATATATTAAATCAATATATTAAAAGACATATATATCCTAATTAGTTCGAGTTTAAGTTTATTGAACCTGGTCTAACAGGGTGTGAACCTAAGTCTAAATTAATTAAGCCTAACTCAATAGGCCCATATTATTTGGCCTAATTGGCCATTCATTTTTTTTTTGTTCCATTTTTTATATTTATATTTTTTTGTTTTATTTTCGAATTGATTATTTATTTGTTTTTACTATATTTATATTTTTTTGTTTTATTTTTGAACTGATTATTTATTTGTTCTTACTTTCAATTTTTTTATTATTTTATTATTTTATTTTTGGACTTATCATTAGTTTTTTTAGGGGATAACATATTGAATTTGGTGCAAAACTAAAAAAAAGAATAAAAATCAAATCCGATGTGATAATAAATTTCTGTAATATCATTTTTACAAATTATCAAATAAATATATAATGTATATATTAAATCAATATATTAAAAGGTGTATATACCTTAATTAGTTCGAGTTTAAGTTTATTGGACCTAGTCCAACAGGGTCTGAACCTAAGTCTAAATCAATTAAGCCTAACTCAATAGGGCCCATATTATTTGGCCTAATTGACCATTCATTTTTCTTTTTGTTCCATTTTTTATATTTATATTTATATTTTTTTGTTTTATTTTCGAATTGATTATTTATTTTTTCTTACCTTTAATTTTTTTTATTATTTATCTATTTTTTTATTTTATTTTTGAACTTATCATTAGTTTTTTTAGGAGATAACATTTTGAATTTGGTGCAAATTTTACTATGAATAGCATTGATAGAGTTTTAGTTAGTTCAATTTCTAAAAGGATAAATGTTAACAAAGGAATCGAAATTAATCAAAAAAATTTTTATTGTTCCTATAAATTCAACCTTGAATCAAGTTGAAAGGGGGGGAGAAACACAAAGAGGGAAAATCAGAAACAGAAGCCAATCACATGAAACACAAAAAGAACACAGAGAGCAAAGAAAAGTAAAAAAAGGCGTTTAGAATGTTCAAAAGTGATCTTAAGATTTTTTAAGATTTTTTTTGATGATTTTTTTTGGGAAATTTCTGGAAATTCCATATTTTGATTGAATTTTTTGGTGAAATTTAAATTTTTTGATGATTTTTTCGACGTTGGATGAATTTTTTGGCCAATTACTCAGTTTCTGGCGCAAACATTTCCAGAAAACAATGAACTTTTCAATGAACTTTCAACGAACAACCTAGATTTCGGCAAGAATTTCCAAAATTCGGTTAAATTTCAACCGATTTCTTGAGAGGATAGAGAGAGAAAAAAGGGGAAGGAGAAGTCTGAGGAAAAAAATCAAAAATCAACCTTATATACCCTCCCCAAAACAACGTCGTTTTTGTGTTTAAAAAGTCCCATGATCCGCGTGCTTTTTATTCGGGTGACCCGACCCAAGCGTTGACTCGCGTTTCAACTAGCTCTTCAAAAACTATTTCTGAGCTAAACCGAGCCAAGCGACGTCCTCTGAGCCGTGCCTCCCAGCCATTTTTCTTCCTCAAGCCGAGCCAAATCCCAGCCGCTTAGTAGAGCTGTGTTAAGGTTTTTTTTTTATTTATTTATTATTTTTTTTGCTTATTTATTTATTGATTAAATTGGAATTATTTGGTATTTCTTTTTTTTATTTTATTTTATTTTTTTCAATGATTTTTCTAAAATAAAATTTTCAAAAAATATTTTTGAGAAAAAATTGACAGTATCAATTTTTCTTAAAAATAAAATTTTTAAAAAATATTTTTGAGGAAAAAGTTGAAAGTATCAAATTTTCCTTGAAAATAAAATTGTTAAAAAATTTTTTTGAGGAAAAGTTGAAAGTATCAATTTTTCTTAAAAATAAAATTTCTAAAATAAAAATTTTCAAAAGGTATTTTGAGAAAAAATTGAAAGTATTAATTTTTTTTGAAATTAAAATTTTAAAAAATATATTTTGAAGAAAAGTTAGAAGTACCAATTTTCCTTAAAAATAAAAATATTTTAAGAAAAAGTTGAAAGTATTAATTTTTCTTAAAATAAAAAACTTTCAAATGCTTTAAGGAAAAGTTGAAAGTATCGATTTTCCTTGTATAAAAGCAATGGGTTTTTTTAAATGAAAAGAAATAGATTTATAACAAAAGTTGAATCATTATTCCCTTTTATTTTATTTTATTTCTTTTTTTCTTTTCTTTTCTTGAAAAATTTTTAATATTAAATAATTTGACGATGAAGTCTCTGCAAGTGAAACAATAGTTTTCTTGTATACTCTTGAGGTGAAAAAATTTTTCTTAATTTTTTGCCAAAAGTATTCGAGTTAATTAAGAATAATTTTCAATAATTAATTACTTGGTAAAATTTTTAAGGCTTATTAGATAACACAAAATTAAGCTACTATCATCTTTCGATGGGCGTTGTGAGGGTGCCATAACCTTTCTCACTCGTAACTGAACTCTCAAACCCTGTTCTGGTTAATAGACCCGAATCTATTTTTTTAGAGACCCTTAGTCAAGCTTAGGTGTTCCTTGAAAGCATAGATTTCTTAGGTGGCCAATCGCACCTAAACAAAAAAGATTTGTGGCGACTCTCTAAGTCAATGTCTAGCGATAGATCCCTAGATCTAGACGTTATGATAGTTTGATGACTCCACTGGAGACAGCCAAGAGTCAGGCGAGCAAATAAATTCGTGTTATCCAAAAAGCCTAATAAAATTAAATTCTTTATAAGGATTTTTTTTCTTCTTTCTTTTCTATTCATTTTATTTATTTATGTTGTAAACAATGTCATTCATAGGCATATGCATAACATGAGCTCTATACCTGAGTTTCATCCCTCTAGAAGGGAGTAAAGTACCTATGCTTTCGAAAGGTTCTAATGCCTTCACAATGGCTAGCAAAATACTCTCACTCAAATTGAATTCTTTTCGTTGGTAACCTGTGATGGGTGAGATTTGGATTGTCTTACTAGTATGTGATGGACGATGATGTAAGGAATAATTTAAGAACCTTTAGTGGTCAAAGTTGTCTAACCCAACATATAGTGTACACTTAAGAGACCAACCCTAAGATAGAGCCCTTCCTACCCAATGATAGATATACCCTGAAACTAGGACACAAAAAAGGTGTTTATCTAATCATTTTGATTGTCTGACTTTGTGCATCATTTTCATTATCGTATGTAATATTATGCATCTACATCACTTTCATTTCATCTGTAAAACTAACCATGTTGTTTGTTTAATTTTGTGCATCTGCATTATTTCATTCTATGCATCATTTTCATGATCATGTTTTAACATTATCATTTGCATCATTCTTATTTCATCCATGAAGATTCACATTCCATTCATGCATCAGCATATCATACAGCATAGCATAGCATTTCTAATCATAATTGTAATGCTAAAAGTTCAAGGATAGCTCCACCAAGCAACCTCACTCACTAATACAGTATAAGGGCTCAAGCCAAACAGATGAAACAAAAAAAATTCTAATCGTCTTGAGAGGATAGAGAAAGCCTAAGAGAAGCTAGAAAGAGAGTTGAATAAGATTTTGAAGGCTTTGAACAAATTAAACAATAGGAAAGGTATAGAAAAAAGCACTAGTCAACAAGACCATCCATTACAATAGGTGGATGACCCACTATACCCTCTCGATTTTGGGCCACATTAAGCCCAATCCGCATAAGATCCATCACCCCAGCAATTCACATATCTTATAAGGTACGCATACCCTGAAATGCCATCAGTTTCAAATCCACCATTGTACTAAAACTACATAAATCTTGTTTTTATTGAAAAGGTAATATGACCAATACTAGTCTCTAATTTGGATGATTTAGAGGATAAAAAAAAATTGAGGCCTAAGGAAAATAAGACTTTAGAAGCTTCAAAAGCTAAACAGAAAATGAACCTATTAGAGGAAAGGCTTCGAGTAGTGGAAAGAGTTAGTTTTTATGGTTC